ACCCTGCGAACCTCGACCTAAACTCTGAGCTAAACCAGAACCTGTACCCGATTAACTTAGACTTGGGGTTTAGGGCTGGTTTAGGGTTTAGGTTTGGGGATCACGCTTCGGAACCTTGATCCCTATCAACTTTCTGAACCTAGACCGCTCCGCCATCCTACACCCCCCCACGCCCGTTACACCCGAAGCCGCTGCGGCCATGGGTTACGCCACGGGCAAGAGCAAAGGAAAGGGGAAGGGTCGAAGCGGCCGTGGTGGCTCGGACAGAATGGCCTAGCCTTAAGGGTCCATGTAGCTATATAGGATATACCTTGGCCCGAAAGTTGATGATATAGATCCTGCACTACCTTAAGGACCCTAGACTATAGGAATTATGGTATATTCCTTATTATGGGTAATGCAGGATTTATAAAATCAACGGGATGGGGATTACCTGAAGGCTCATGAATACACTAAAAGGGGGTTTCCGAAAATAGGGGACCCTAATATAGCACCCTAAATAGTAGGATCCTTATTATAGGGACCCCTAAATAAGGTACCCCGATTTTCGGAAACTCCCATATGAGTACATGGAGCCTTAGGCTCAGCCTGAAAAGTCCGCGTGTTTAGGGGTCCCATGAGGTTTCAGGCTTCAGGTTCTATGCGCCTCTATCTGTCGATCTATCCGTCTACCTGTGCATACACACACACACATATATATATATATATAGATATTATATTATATTATATTATATTATATTATATTATATTATATTATATTATATTATATTATATTATATTATATTATATTATATTATATTATATTATATTATATTATATTATATTATATTATATTATATTATATTATATTATATTATATTATATATATATATATATTATATTATATATTATATATATACACATATGTATGTGTATATATATTATATATATATATATATATATATATATATATATATATATATATATATAATGTGATTGTATATGTGTGTAGCACATACTATGACTTTAAAGTGTTGACATCAAAAAGGAGCCCCGTGAAGGCCAAAGTCTATACTATACTATCTGGGCACAAGGCGCCCTAAGGGTAGGATCTCGACGGGGTTTAGGGTTAAGGGTTTAGGGTTCAGGGTCAGGGTATGGTGCTAGGGTTTGAGATTCAGGGCTTGATCTCGCGGTTCAGTGTATAGTTCGTGGAAGCTTTTCAGGGTCTACGTCTCTCTTTTTTGGGCATCCTTGTTACTATTTCAGTAACATCGAAATCTCAGACTTTCCGATGCCCCGGCACCGCTAAACGTGGTTCCCTGCACCCAAAGCCCTAAAAACCGTACACTTCACCAGATGCCGCCCAAGTGCAGGTGAGTTTTGGCGTGCAGTGGAGTGTTTCGCAGTGACGCGTTGAGGCTTTTCGTGGGTTTCAGGTGGAGGCATGGAGACAGGACTGGAGGTTACTGGGTTTCAGGTTTTGAGCACATGGTAGGGTTTAGGGGTTTAGGGTTTAGGGTCCGCTTTTCCAGGTGTTAAGCAGTTGGAACGCGCCCCGCCAAAAGAGCAAAGGACATGAGGTGACTCACCTGCCTGCCCTAGGCCCCAGGCCCAGGTGAGGCCAAAACCCAGAATTCAGCTGAACTCGAGGTAAAGGCTTGGGCAAAGAATGGCGTCGGTCAGCCGAGTTCGCACGTGCCCCAGAAATCCAAGACTTTGATGCCGGCTTCAGCATTTCGGACTTCTGTTAATTTTCGAGTCTGCCCACCTCTACATTCGAGCCGGCGACGCTATCTATCTATCTATCCATCTGTATATATATATATATGTATGTACATATACATATAAATAAATAAATTAATTAAATAAATAAATAAATAAATATATATATATATATATATATACACATACATATGAAGCGTGCTTCGTTGACGAAGTAAGTAAGCGTGTGCGCGTGTGTGCGCGAGCACCTGGCCCATGTATAATTAGGATCCTACAAGGTAACCCCCAAAAAGGAACTATATAGGTCAAAGCATAATATGCCTCTGTCCCAGATCGCACCCAATATATACACAAGCCGTAATGTTGTTCTTCGGGCATGCCACAATAAAACTGTGCCAAGCCTTCCAGGACAGTTCGAAGCCCGAGTTAAAATTCCTCAGCTCTAAACATTGAGCCGCAAGCTCGTAGAAATGGAACCCTTAAGCCCTTTGGCCGGAAATCAGCCATTTGACACCAACCCTAAAGCCTCTAAACCAACACAACCAAAGGACCCACCCCAACCCCCAAACCCTGTAAACCCTCAACCCCAAAATCTTAAACCATAAAACCCTGAAGCCCTAAACAGCCTGCTAAAGCCCTAGGCAATCAACGACACACGCAAGACCCCCCTGTGAAGGCACCCAGCGAGGAAAACGAGGAGACCCCAGAGCCGGAGCAGGCTCAGACAGCAACCCTACTTGGAAGGGCAGGGGACTTAGTAAGTAGGTTATAAGTAGGGTTATAATTGGGGTAACTC